AAAATGTCATTGGTTCAAAGTGTTAACACTACTTTTCCGGTTCCTTATAACTGGGCGCTCTCAAACCACTGAACCAGAAGCCAGCCTGCTCGTTGGTCTGAAGTGAATTCTAGCGCAGTCGTTTGAGGGCCAAGGACAGGGTCGTGGCTTGGAATACTGCCAGCCGCACGTAGGAAAGCTAAGGGCCCCTTTTTCGTCAGGGGTTGACAGGAGGAAACCTTCCCCAGAAGGCCAGCTTTGGGCATGGCAGAAATGTGGAGTACACGACATATCTCACGGAAGAAGTTGCAAGTGCCTACTTGGAGGATGAGGTAGTCACAGTTTGTAAACTTCAGATCTAATATACAGACGCTAGACTGAGTTTCCCTTCGGAGAACTGAACTTGTTCGTGAGCAGGATGGGCAAACTTTAGAAATTAAAACAGTGCAGATTTATTGTTTCACAATGCTGTCAATCATAACACTAATCACTTAAAGATGAGCATCTTTCTGTTCGAAGCACCCTTTTGAGGTCCATTAAGGGTTTCATCCATTCTGAGATCCAACTCCCTTGCAGTGTTCTCTGACATTTGTTACTGACTTGGCTGCTTGGAGTCTGGGTACAAGGGGGAAGCTTATGGGACTAGGTGTCTGGTGTATTTGCTCGTGTTTGTTCTCTTGACTAAGATAATGGTCAAGATTGCTAGTAAGAACTGGCCAAGGCTGGCACTGCAGCTCAATAGGCTAATCCTCTGCCTGTGGCACCGGCACCCTGGGTTCTAGTCCAGGTTGGGGCGCCGGATTCTGTCCCTGTTGCCCCTCTTCCAGGCCAGCTCTCTGCTGTGGCCCGGGGAAGGCAGTGGAAGATGGCCCAGGTCCTTGGGTCCTGCACCCCATGGGAGACCAGGAGAAGCACCTGGCTCCTGGCTTCGGATCAGCGTGGTGTGCCGGCTGCAGCGCGCTGGTCGCAGCAGCCATTGGCGGATGAACCAATGGAAAAAGGAAGACCTTTCTCTCTGTCTCTCACTGTCCACTCTGCCTGTCAAACAAAACAAAACAGAACAAAAAACAAAAAACAAAACAAAACAAAACAAAACTGGCTGAAACCTGCAGTCTTCCCAGGATTCCTCAGTTCTGGGTGATTCTTCACCATTGTTCCTTAGCAGGACTTCTGATTCCCACTGCATTGAGTTTCTCTGGGCCTGCTAATAAGGCTGTCTCCTCATGGGTAGACTGATCCTTAACACTCTGCTCCTTTCCTGCTTATCTTGTGGGATTTTCCTGGAGTTCCTGCTGAAGCCCAGGGGGATTCAGGACCTGGAGTGGCCCTGCAGACCCCCTTTGCCTAAACACACAAGCCATGTTACCCTTCATCTTCTGCCGTTCTGAAGAGGGAATCCTGCTCCTTCCATGCCCACATTCCAGTCCTGAATCCCACCGTTCTCACTAATACAGTGGTGAGTGGTGTACATTGTTTTAGATTTCTTCAAGTAAACAAATAATGTCGCGTGAGTGAAACACCTAAAAGTGGCATAGAGTAGCTGCCTAAAACTGATTGCTACTAAGGATCTTCTAGGCCATCCAAAACATGGAAGCTTCCATTTCCATTCAGTCTCTGTGGGGTGTTTGTTACGCTGTGGCATACTCCTTGTGTGGTGTATTGTAACTTCCAAAACATTTCTTTAGGAATTTTGGTAAGCTGTTTTATCAAGGAGATATTACTTTTTGAAATCACATCAAAATGTATCATTTTGAAAATTGTCTTAAATCTATGAACCAGGAGCTCAGAATTGAATCTGGGTTTCCTAGTGTCAGGGACTCTGCTTGAGTCATCTGCCCCATCCTGAAGGCTGCATAGGCAGGAATTCCTGGCCAGAGCCAGGAATCGAACACAGCTCTTCTGATACAGGTTGCTGGTATCTTAAACTACATCCTAATTGTTGGACCAAATGCCCACTCCCAGATTTCATTTTTATTTTAAAGCTTTTATTTTTGTTTCCTTGGAAGGCAGAGCTATAGAGAGAGGGAGAGGGAGAGAGAGAGAGAGAGAGAGAGAGAGAGAGATATCTTCCATCCGCTGGTTCACTCCCCAGATGGCTGTAATAGCTGGGGCCGGGCTAGGTGGAAGCCTTGAGCCAGGAACTTCATTGGGGTCTCCCACATGGGTGTAGGGGTCCTGGAGGCATCTTATGATGCTTTTCCCAGGCACATTAGCAGGGAGCTGGATTAGAAGAGTAACAGCCGGGACTCAAACCGGTGCCCATATGGGATGCTGGCATTGCAGGTGGTGGCTTAACCTGCTATGCTGCAACGCCCAGCCCTCGATTGCATTTTAAATACTAATACATTAATATGTCCAGTATTACAGAAGGGTGTCTTATTGTAGTGGTAGAAAGAGTTAAAATAGACTTACAAATAGTTTACACTGTGAAATTGTATTGTAGTCTTAAGAACCTGTTGGGAGCCTTCCACTCTGGAGATCGTGTAGGAAGCACGTCGGGAATCTTTCTGAGAGTCTTCGGAGAAGCTGCCGCCCAGCAGTGAATATTGCATTTTTTTCAAAAGCAGGAACTAGTTCTTTTGGTTTGGTCATTATTCTAATTTTAATTCATGTTTTACCAAATGAGACATTTCAATTTTGGTTTTATATATCAACTAGTACAGCTGGTATTTACAGTGCAGCTCTAGACCCAGGAGTCACTGACTCAATTCAGAGTTTGCGAATGAGATCTCTTTATTTCTTAAGTATTTAAACATTTTTCTAGAATGAGAACTTCAGAGAAAGTTCTTTATATATTAGAGAGGATATACATATACTTGGAATACATTTTTTCTTCAGATTTATTATCCATTTTTATTTTTTTAAAGATTCTATTTATTTGAGAGGTAGAATTACAGAGCGAGGAAGAGACAGAGAGAAAGGTCTTCCATTCGTTGGTTCTTTCCCCAAATGGCCAAAATGGCTGGAACTGTGCCTAGACAAAACCAGGAGCCAGGAGCTTCTTCTGGGACTTCAATGTGAGTGCAGGGGCCCAAGGACTTGGGTCATCTTCAGTGCTTTTCCAGTCTATAGGCAGAGGATTGGAAGAGGAGCAACTGCGACACAAGCCAGCACACTTAAGGGATGTTGGCAGTGCATGTGGGGGCTTAGCCTACTACACTACAGTGCCGGCCCCCATAATCAACCATTCTTTACACCACCTGGTGGTGTGTCTGACACATGTAGGCATGTAAGTAGTGATTGAGTAAATGATAAGTGCAGGTTGTGCATCTGAACTGATCTCCACCAATTGTGAAGCACACTGCATTCCTTACACCACAGGAAACAGGTTAGACTTGAACTAGAGAAGCGAACATGATGTTCATGGTACAAAGCACGACTGCATTTCAGATCAATTAGCTCCACTGGTTTTACTGCAAAGCACTCAATATCCTGGATCAATTAAAGTGGTGTTGAGGTCTAACTATTTGTATCCCAGATCAATGAATCTATCCAGAAATTCGTGTTCCTGAATCTCATCTTAGGTTTCAGTGAAAGAGGGAGCTTTGCAGTGGACAGAGTTCAGCATGGGTGAGCTGGACGTCAAATAGGACTTGATGACTGCTCCTCAGCAGAGAGCGTAATTAGTTTGGTAGTATGCGGGACTCCTGGAAGAAACCACACTTTATGTTCTGTCACTAAATTGATGTGCCTTGAAGAGTTTAAATCAAAAGCTCTAAGATCAAAGTTCAAATGCATATGGACCAAATCTCATAGATGGAATAAGGCAGTCAATTTGAGGAATAAATTTTGATTTAGATCTTTTACAGTATTCACTTGTCAGATAAAATTTAAAGTCCATATAAACAAATAGGCTCTGTATGAATATAAGCTGATCATGTTGCGTCAGTGTCTATGGAAAGCCGGTGCTCACCAGTAGCACCCAAGCCCAGCTGGGACTGGACTGTAGGACCTGTTGGTAGTAAAGCAGAATGCTGGATCTGTGCCTGCAAAAAAGCAGGGTTGAGCTGGTTCCTGAGTATGCCTGGATTCACTTCCCAGAAGACAGTAAAAACCTGCCAGGTCCTGGCTTTCAAAGATGGTTTAGTCATGCATGTGCACCCCATCTGTCGTAGGCACAAGGGATTTCCTTCTCAGCTCAGCCCTGCAGCCACAAACGCTGCTACCCCTCCTCCGGTTTAATTCTTCCTCTCCAGCAGGGAGTGACAGGCCCTGTAAACCAGGTGCTGATCCTGCCACTCAAGGGAGATCCTTCTTCCATAGACTCAGAGGTGAGCTGGAAGTGCAGCTGGGTTTTCTTTTGCTACTTAGCTTAATTTTGGTTTCCTTTGATTCAGTGATTTAAAACAAGCATTTAATTTGAAATAAAAAAGATCGTATTACAGCTGTAACCACAGTTTTAGTTTAGATGGAATGACCTTCAGCTCCTCTGTATGGGAGGCAGCTGAAGAGGAACATAGTAGGGGCCTCATGCTCTCTCCCTCCCCCTCCCCTCCCCCCTTCCCCTACCTCCCCTCCCTCTCTTCCCCCCCCCCCCCCTCTCCGATTTAGCAATATATCCAGCAGACGCAGAGTTCCACGTGTGGAGCACAGTGAAAAGGTCTCCTTCTGCACATCCTCCAAGGCAGCCCTGCCCCCACCTCTGTCCACCTCCTGCAGGTGTGACCCTCAGTGGTTCGGTTGTTCCATTTGCTCTGTGGGCTTCCATTCTCTCCCACTGCAGAGGACAGTTGATACAGGGTTTAGAGATTGTACAGCAACTTCTGGATTGTACAGATAAGCCATTATGGTGCACGATGTTTCACAACCAGGTAACAACCCGGTATTTTGGCAAGCTGGTGGTTTTCTAGCAAATTTGTATTTACATACTTTTTTCCTTGCACATTCTTCAAAAAGATCCAGATGAAGAAAGAAAAGGGTGTATTTTTCTAATCAGTTGTTCAGAGTTTTAAATGTATTCTAATGGGGGCTTTTGAGCCAAATAAGCAATTACTGTTCTTACTAATTTTCCTTTCACACAGATTTATGAGAAATATCAAGATTTGTATACTGTGGAACCAAATAATGCACGTCAGCTGGTGGAAATTGCAGCCAGAGACATTGAGAAGCTTCTCAGCAACAGATCTAAAGCCCTGGTGGTGAGTCCGTGCTGGATCTGCTCATGTGACTAACTTCCATTCCTCATCTTCTGTTTTTTTCTTGCTTTATCTGATGATTCTTTCCAGTATACTTTCTTTACCTTGGTAACTGTTCATCGGCTGTGATCATACAGGATGTGATACCATGAACTCAAAATAATCAGTTATCCTTTTTCTTGGTACTCGTTTATTTTCATATAACTACAGATTATTGTGATACATAGGAATAGTATATGCAATCAACATTTACATATTTATATGTATGTGTGCCTAATATTAAAGGAACATGCTTAAATCTGACTTAACAGATAAAATCCACAAATAATACCAACATCCTTACAGACAGTGCTCTCTTACCCCATCACCCCATCTTCCTGCCAGAAATGGCTAATATCCTTGATACTTGATTACGTGTGATTTTTCGCTTAATAAAGTTGAATCTGACATAGGAAGGTAATTTTTATTTTGCTTATTTCTTAGCCTTATTAAAATCATATATTTTTATATGTAGCCTTTGGAGACTTGTGTTTCTTCACTAACATTATGTTTGTATAATTTATCTGTATGCCTGTGCTTAACTTTAGTTCATTTTATAGCAGGGCCCCCTTTCCATGGAGTATGCACTGCAGATTCTCCAGTGGGCACCTGACACTGTGGACAGCACTGAATCTTAGGCATCATCCCTCAGTATCCACTGCGGGGTGCCTCCAGGAACCCCTTGGATAACAAAATCCAGATGTTAGGTCTCTTATATAATGTGGCCACAGGTTTGCACTTAACCTACACGCATCCTTCTGTGTGTTTTCAGTTATCTTCAGATTCCTTGTAACATGTAGTGCAATGTTATGCTATGGAAATAGCTATTACACTGTGTTGTTTAGGGAATAATGACAAAAATTCTGTTCATGTTCAGGTCAGGTGTCATGGTTTTTCTGAATATCGCACTAATCCGGAGGTTGACTGAATGGACTATGTTGTTTGTACAGTCATAGCTATGTTAAAGTTTAATTCATAAATTAACCATAGTCAGAGATGAACAGTAATTACTACTGTACTGTATTCAGTCTTGTTGTGATAATGTGAGACTGTGCACTGTCTGCATGATGAGATGAATGTGGAAGGAATAGTGAAGTAGTGTTAGGCTAATTGTGAGGGCTGAAGACCAGCACTGCCATTCTTGGTCAGTTGATCCCATAACTGAAGCTTCTGTATTAACAGGTTAGTAGTGGAGACCCAGGAAAGAGGGCTCACTCACATCCCAGGTGAGACAGAGCGAGATTCCATCATGCTGCACAGAACTCCATGCCATTTTAAAACTTTCAGAGCTCACAGTAACATCTTATTTTCTGAGAAAGTATTTCAATTTGTGGGTTTCTTCTCTGTTGTCAACTTCTTATCTGGATTTATTGCCACATAGATGCTACTATCAATAGCAATGCTGAACTTTCTTGAAAAATTTTTAGTACAGGAAAACCAAATAGCTTCCTTGTAAGGAATGTAAAGAATTAGGTCTATAGTGTATGACAAAACAGTTGTGTCATTATCAATTGAGGCATCCACTAGCAGCATGGGTCCTCACTGGTGCTTGTCTGCCCCACATGTGAAGTGTCTGGTATCTTAACTATAGGCAATTCAGTGGGTGTGAAATGATACCTCTGCTCACCCATCACGAGAAAAACATCCTGTCATCATTAACCATTCTGTTGCCTCTTCACTGAAATATCTGTCCATATGTTTTGCACATTTCTATTTATTTATTTTAGATATTTACTTATTTATTTGAAAGGCAGAGCAACAGTGAGGGGGTGTGGGGAGCAGGGTCCGTCTCCCGCAACATGGCGGGGCGCCCGGGAGACAAATAAGTACTGAGACTACTGAGACTAGACTAGACCACCGAGACTATTAAGACTAACTCTATGCATCTGATCTCCCATCATATGGCGCTGAGAGAGAGTAAACAAATCTTACACAGCTGCTTCGTTAATTAGCTGATTCCTGACCCAACCCCTTAAAAGGGGGAGAGAGACAACATGCGCGGCTACGCCCCCTGAGAGAGCTGGTTGGAGAGCTCGCTGGTGCCGCTCCTCCGCGAAAGCGGGGGAGCAGCAGCAAATCCGGGGAGGACCGGGGAAAAAAAAAAAAAAAACACAGCATCCGGTGTCGGTCCTCTGCGAATGAGGGAGTGAAGGGGGGGGGGGAGCAGGGAGGGAGGGGCAGAGAGAGAGAGAGAGAGAGAGATTTTCTATCCATTGGTTCACTCCACAGATGGCCACACCAGTCGGCCAGTCTTACAGGGACTCAAGAACTTGAGCCATTGCTGCCTTGTGGGCATATTAGCAGGGAGCTGGATAGGAATCTAGCATCTAGGACTCTGACACTTTGATGTGGCAGGTGAGTGTCCCAAGTGGTGGCTTAACATACTGTATCAAGACACATGCCCCTAATTTTTTGTTGATTTGCAGGTTAGGTACCATAGGTAGTAATTCATTTAGTTATATATAATGTAAATATCTATTTCCAATTTGTGCCTAGTAATTTTCTTTATTGTGTATTTTGATGAGATAAATTCTTAATTTTAATGCAAAGTCAAATTTTCATTCAACTGTTGGTATTTTGGGATGTTTTCTGTAAGAAATTTTTCTTGGGGCCTGCATTTTGGCACAACGAGTAAAGCTGCCACTGGTGATACTGACATCCCATATTGGAGTGCTGGCTCAAGTCTTGGCTGCTCCACTTCTGATCCAGCTCCCTGCTAATGTGCCTGGGAAAAGCAGTGGAGGATGGCTGAAGTGCTTGGGGCCCTGCCACCTGCACATGGGAGACCCAGATGAAGCTCTTGGCTCCTGGGGTCAGCCTGGCCTATTCTTGGCCATCCTGTGATTTGTGGAGTGAACCAGTGGATGGAAGATCTGTCTTTCTCACTCTGCCTTTCAAATAAATTTTTAAAAATTCAGAAGATTAAAGAGAGGTTGGAGGCCGGTGCCGTGGCTCACCAGGCTAATCCTCCGCCTTGCGGCGCCAGCACACCGGGTTCTAGTCCGGTCGGGGCACCGGATTCTGTCCCGGTTTCCCCTCTTCCAGACCAGCTCTCTGCTGTGGCCAGGGAGTGCAGTGGAGGATGGCCCAGGTCCTTGGGCCCTGCACCCCATGGGAGACCGGGAGAAGCACCTGGCTCCTGCCGTTGGATCAGCGCAGTGCGCTGGCCGCAGCGCACCAGCCACGGCAGCCATTGGAGAGTGAACCAACGGCAAAAGGAAGACCTTTCTCTCTGTCCACTCTGTCAAAAAAAAAAAAAAAAAAAAAAAGAGGTTGGCATTGTGGTGTGCAGGTTAAGTTGCCACCTGCAACACCATCATTGCATATGGGTGCTGGCTGGAGTCCCAACTGCTCTACTTGCCTTCCAGCTCCCTGTCGCTCCCCCTCTTCATGGAGGAACGACACTAAACCCTGCCTAGGTTTCCTATCTGAGTCACGGCACCATTATGTCGCTCCCCCTCTTCGTGGAGGAATGACACAGGACCCTGCACTGTTCTTTTGTCTGCTCGGCCCTCCCTGGGTTTGCTGCTGGTTCTTCCCGGGTTGGCTACCGACCCTTCCACCTCCGTGGAAGGGCGGTTCCCCCTGCCACTTTCCCCACTTCCGCGGGGGAGCAGCACACCACCGGCCGGCTCTCTCGGGGGCTGCTCAGGTGTTATTCGGATAGATGTTCCTGGTGCATGTTGTCTCTCTCCTCCTTTATAGTCCTCTTCCACCAATCCCAACTCTGCTACCCACACGCCGAGTACGCTGCTCTCCTCCAATCAGGAGCAGCTCCTGCAGCTTATTGGTTGAACTGGAGGCAGCTGTGTAGAAGCTGTTTCCTCCTCTCCCAGCGCCATATTGTGGGAGAGCAGATGCATAGAATAAGTCTTAATTCCAGTAACTTAGTCTAGTCTGAGTTGCTCCCCACAGCTCCCTGCTAATTCATCTGGGGAAGCAGTAGAGGATAGACCAATTGCTTGTGCCTCTGCATCCATGTGGGAGTCCTGAGTGCATTTCTAAGCTCCTGGTTTTGACCTGGCCCATTCCTGCCCATTGTAGCCATTTGGGAAATGAATTAGCAGATGGAAGATCTCTCTGTCTGTCTCCCTCTCTGTAACTCTCATTTCAAATAAATAAATAAATAAATCTTTAAAAAAAGAGAAATACTTCCCTACCTGAGGTTATACATTTATTTTTTAAATGTATTTTATTATAAACAGTTACACATTTTGTCTTTCATAATGAAGTATTTAATCTACTTGTAGCTGGTATTAGTATATAATTTGGTGCTCAAATTTTTTTGAGCCTGTTTTCCTGGGCTCATTATTAAATAATTTGGCATCCACAGTGAGCTCCAGTGACCAAGCTAGACATTGAATGGCCAGGTACTTTCCAGTCCTCTTCTTTAGAAGTATCTTCACGAAACTTGCACTTGCTCTTTTTATTTAAGCTTTTGTCTCTGCACATAATTATCCAGGAAAATATTTACTGGGATTTTGATGATTTAAATGGACTTGAGAAGAATCAGTTTTTTTTTTTTTTTTTTTTTTTTTTTTTTTTTTTGCTCTTTCTGTTGATAACCAGGACATTCTTTCCACTTGGCAGTTTTTTTTAAACCATTCAGGAAAGTTTTAAAAGTTTCCCATAAAGTTCTCATACACATTGCATTAAAAAAAAAAAAAAAAAACAAACTTAGCATAGGCTAAGTTCCTCTGAATCTGTAGATTTCATTCCTGTTTTTAAAATTTTACTTGCTTGAGAGAGAGACAGAAACAGAGACAGACAGACAAGAACACAGAGAGATACCTTACTCACTTATTGACTCCCCAAGTGCCCGTAATAGTCAGGGTCAAAGCTGGAAGCTGGGGCACAATTCAAGTCTCCCATGTGAGTGGCAGGAGCTCAGTCACTTGAGCTGTCACTGCCTCTTCTGGAGGCAGGAGCGGGAGCCAGAAATTGAACCATCTATTCCAATACAG